GAGTTCGAGCCCCGCGTCGGGCTCTGGGCTGATGGCTCAGAGCCTGGACCCTGTTTCCGATTCTGTGTCTCCCTCTCTCTCTGCCCCTCCCCCGTTCATGCTCTGTCTCTCTCTGTCCCAAAAATAAATAAACGTTGGGGGGAAAAAAAAAAAAACTTACTTAATCTTAAGCCTCGTAAAGCATTATGGTACAGCTGCTTCTACAATCTCAAGGAAATTCTAAACATATTCTCGTTTTATCCCAAATCATAAAAACCAATACCAAAAAAAGCTGTGGCATTAAAACATACTAAAGATAAAGAGCAAGTTGTAATAAGATGAGAGGCTACAATAGTCAGAAAGTAAATAAACTACGTTCAAAATCAGGAACAGCTCGAGTTACAAAATGACACTAACAGACTGCCATTAGCACACTACACACTGACTCAAACTATTCTCCAAGGATCTAACAGCATAGTTGAACAACAATATTAAAAAAAGAAACACAAAGAACCGCATCATAATTGTTTAAGCCAGTAAGAATTAAAGATCTAGGAAGCTCCTTACCTGTGTGCGTTCTGAGATGAATATTGAGGTAATAATTTGAACGGAAAAACTTCCCACAGTAACTACATTCTCTTGAGGACGTAAGATGCTTTATTTTTCCTCCATCATCATTTTTATCTTGAAGCAGAAACAAAAATACTTATGTAAGAAGACAGCTCGAGTACATGAGTAAGACAAGTGGGCTTTAAGTATTTTTGATGGAAGCATTTTTGGAAAAGCATAAAATAGCTTTTATATATTAGTGCTGGGGTAAACCAGAAAGGGTAGGAACATACCAAACACTGTTTGGAGGTCATCTGAAGTCTCGCAAGCTTTTTAACATGCGTGCCTTGTTTTTTGCTTTGTTTTGTTTTGTTTTTGTTTCCTGAGTACAGCCAACTTAGTGGATCGTTAAAAGAGTCCGTTCCTCATTTGCCTCAATCACAGGAAAGATCACTTAACAGACTGACATGCATGGGCAACTTTCTGTTCTCCCAACACGTCTGCGACATGCCTGCTGGACCTACACTCGCTGGCTGCAATAACCAGCTTCTTCAGAGTAACTGATTTAGAAAACTGAGCCAATATAAATTGCCAGTTTTCCCAACCAGACAGAAGGCGATCCTAAGATCAGGCCAGCTACCACTAGAGGGTAGCAAGCACAACCTTATCTTCACAGAAAATAAAAGGTTTGGCATTGGGTCAAACACCTTGTTTGTCAAAATTGAGCATGTTTTGGAAAGCAAACCGTATCATTCGCCAGCACTCCTGTGGACAAGATATACCTGAGACCAATCAGAATCTGTCCCCAAGTGACAATGGGTTAAACTTGAAACTTCAAACTCTGCACTGAGCAGGAGAATATATCTCTGCTACAAGAGAGTAAAGGTCTGCCGGGGACGCTCATTTAAAGGGTTATTGTATTTAAACTCCAGCCCTCCAAAAGACCGTTCCACTTGCTCCAGTTAAGATACCCACTCCCACAAAACTGAGTGTCAGAGTTCTCGATCAACCTCCTCTTACTACACACACTACACAATGAGGACAAGAGAAGTGAAGTCATGTCTTAAAATTGAGCATCACTAAACTGGCCATTTTGCCTTGAAAACCGAACTCCAACCTTTGAAAGGCCTCCTTTCCCTGCTCCTTCCTCACTCTGCATTTTGGACTGTATATATTTGGTTTACAGATTTAAAAAGCAGTTTATAAGCAAACCTTGGGCAGCCTCCAGTACAACAGAGACCAGATTGCATGATTCCCCCTCAACTCCCAGAGGAAAATGTATCCAGCTCTAAACATTCTCAAACAGCAGGAACAGGCACTGATGGAAAAGATGTCATGAAGACTTAAAAAATAAGAATTACAAGAATAACCACTGTTAAACCTATTTTCAAGTAGAACAAATATAAAAACAAAATGTTTACTTTGTCTTTTGATCTTCTTTAAAGTAAATCTAAAAGAAAGCCAGGTTGATGGTAAAAAAACAGTAAGCCAAATGGAAACCACCCCGTCATGATACAAATTGAGGAGAATCAATTCTCTCGACACAGAATGCCTAGCTTTGTCTTCCAATCACACCCACCTAGCCAAGTCGGAACTTTACTGCAATTTCCTACTCCCAAGTATGCATCAGAATTTGTTATGTTGCATCATACCCAAAAAGTTATGAAATGCCTTTCTTTTAACAGAAAGGACACGAAACGCCCACATATACCTGGTTCCTGCTCCTTGGGCATCACCTCTGAGTTTTAAAGAACTGCAAACTTTTTTTTACCAATAGGCTGTTGAAATGATCCTTGGGAGGTGGAAGACAAGGGCTGACGAACCAAATTTTGCAAACAGAAATCAGGGCAAAGAAATGTTAAGCAACCTGTAATCCGCCACAAAACAATGCAGTGGGAGAACCCGCCTCCAGGCAAGTCAGCGGCGCTCCCAGCGATTATCATGGGGCATTCTATCTGCCCAACCACCAAGATTTCCACCCAAGATTTCCACCCGGTTCTCCGGCCCACACCACCCACACCACCCGCTGGCAGAATGTGACTGGCCATTTCATTTCTTTCAGGGCAGCTGGCGGACCTAATTATCTCCCCATTTACTACTACATGCCCCTGAGAATGGGACCCACGCTAACAGGGACCACTATAAAGATAGAGGTCTGTGTTCAAGGCCTTCTTTATGATGTCATTAAGACACCATAATGTGCTTTCGAGATTCCCGAAGGCTGTAGTATGCTAAGTGCTAGGTTTCCTTGTGTCCCATCAAAGTCCAACCATTCTAAATACTCCAGAGGAACTAACAGCTTGTTCTCACATCCATCATGTGATCAGAAGAAGAACCAGGGCACTGGTTTGGGGAGGATCATCTGGTCAAACTCATCTTGGGTCTCACACTCGAGTTCTGACCAGCCAGCCATCAAGTTACAGTGACAGAAGGCAGCGGCTGAAACCAAAGACCACTTTTGTGAATGATGATGTTTCTCGGAGACTAATTCACGTTCCCATCACTCGGCTGCTGAAGACGCAGGGGTTCTTTTAACTGTCTTCCAGCAGGAGAGTCCTTTATTCAAACCAAATCTTACTAAATGGATATGCCAAGTCTCTGGTTTAAGCGCAGATGGGCAAGGCTTGAAGCACACGGGTGGGATCTCTCTGCCTTAGATACGATGTCCACTGGGCCTCAAGACACAATGTGTCAGTGACAGCTTCTGTCTCCTATAAAAGCCATTAGGACACTGAAAACCTGAGCAGCGAGATTCCTTTAAAACATCTTTGGTGCTTTCGCGTTCCCTCTATTTTGAGCACAAATGGACTTAGTTCCTGAGCTAACCGTTAACGAGCACTAGTCCCCCCAGACATGAGAGGAGAGGGTACCAGGTAGCCCCAAACTCTCAGTACTCACCAAACTCTCTCAGTACCCTTGCTCTGGCTGATCATCATTCCCAGTGCCTTTCGTGACCCTAGAAAACCATCTGGAATAAAGGCATGAAGGCTGGGTACTGAAGGAAGGGGAAGTCTGTTGCATCGAGGGATACCTTGTTTTTGTAGAGGAGATCAGGTTGGCCGGAAGAACGGAGCGAAGCCCAGGGTCTCTCAACCCTGACCTCACGGGACACTAGGACCACACAATGACTTGCTGGGGGGGGGGGGGGCCGTGCGGGGCACGGGAGGACACTCGGCGGCATCCCTGGCCTCTACCCACCGGACGCCAGCAGCACAACACGAACACAGTTTTGACACCCAAAAAGACCTCTAGACACTACCAGGTTCCGCTGGGGGCAAAACTGCCCCAGTTAAGATAATGTGTGTCGCTTGTTAGCCAGATATTAAAAAAAAAAAGAAAGAAAGAAAGAAAAAAAATCACACAGTTTTCAGAACAGGAAGAAACCTTGAGAAAAATCAAAGCCCTGAGAGGTTAGGTGAATTTACAACGAGGAGGGTACCAGAAGAGCCTGGACCCAAACCCGGCTCTCCGACACCAACCTGCCAGCGCTGTCCGGGGCTGGAGGCGGAGGAAAGACAGCACGCAACGGAGCGCCTCACTTACCCAAATGGAGCCCTTCCGGAAGTCCGTCCTCAGACCCATCTTCAGAACCGCCTTCTCGATCGACGGCTCCATTCTCGTCCAGGGCGGTGGTTAGGTCCGGAGAACACGTCCTAGGCTGCCTTCCGTCCACGGACATGGTTGGCGATTCGGCGTCGGCCCTCCGATCCTTCTTGTGGACCCTCGAGTGCAAGACCAGCTGGTGGTAGGTCCGGAAGGCTTTGCCACACTCAGAGCAGTGCGTCGGCTTCTCTTTGTTCCCGGACAGCTTTGGGTCGGCTTCCACGGAAGGCACTTCACCGCCGGAGGGTCTGGGCTTCTCCTTGTCCTGGGAGAGGCCCGCGCAGCCGCTTTTGCTGGGCTTGGGCTTTCCAGAACCTTCGGGATGGCTTTTTCCGGCGTTCCAAATTTCTCCCAGCTCTTCTTTTTCGGAACACGAATCATCGTTGTCGGTGCTGCCCTCCTGCCCTGGCTGCTCCTTCACTTCTCGGCAGACGGCGACTTTTCCTTTGGTGGCCAGCTGCCAGGCCTGATAGGTGGTGAACGGATCGAGCTGAGGTATCCATTTGGTGGGCTTCTTCCCGGTCTCGGGGTGCGATTTGGGCCGCAAGTTCAAGAACTGCAGGAACTCTTCCCCCGGAGCTGGCATCCCCCCCTGCGGAGAGTCTGTCTGTGTGCCTCCGCTGCCGGAAGCAGTGTCTTTGGTGTGCATCTTCCTGTGATCGATCAGACTTTCCTTATTTGGAAACAGGAAGCCACAAACCATGCAGATTTTGTAAGGAGAGGAGATGCTCTCCGCCACGTGCTCCTGAACCACCTCGTTGATGGTGGCGGGGCTCTCGGCGCCCGGCTGCAGTTTGCTCTTGGCCCCCGCTTTGCCGGTGTGTGTCCGCATGTGGTTCTTAAGGAACCAGGGCTCCTTGAACCTCCGTCCGCACACATGACAGCCGTAAGTGAAGGAGTCCTTATGCTTCTTCATGTGGATCTCGACGTCGAAAGCGACTCTGAACGTCTGCCCGCACACTTCGCAGCTGAACTCTTCGTTTTCTTTGCAGTTCTTGTCCTTTGGAGGCTCCGTTCTCACCTGAGTCTTGTCCAGAGGACTCAGGTACTCCGCTTCCACACGCAAAACGGCCGGCTCGCAAAGGATAGGCCGATGTTGCATCAGGACATGTTTGTTAAGGTCTTCTGAATGCGTGAAGGTCTGATTGCAGAACATGCAGTCCAAGGGCATATATCCTTCGATCTGGATTATATTTTTCTCTTGCGTAGCTCGGAAAGGAACGGTGGTGGTCCCTTTTATGGACACGGCATCATCTATCTCCATCTGGGTACCAAGAGAATTGCCAATAACTTCTGGTCCATCCATATACACCAGCAGGGACTGAGTTGGCATGTTTCCTGGCACTTTAGGATTGTATACAAAGTAAGAATCCGGTGGAGGGATTTCTGGAACTGGAATAAGGCCACTTGTAAGACTTGTCACTCACGCCCCCAGCAGCCCTGGACTTAAAACGAGAACGAGTATTTGTTACAAAAGTTCAAAAGCAAAGTATATATTCCTGTAGCTTCTTATCTTCAGAAGTCTTAGGAAGCTCGGTGGCAGAGCCAACCACTGGTTCTTTGCACAAACAAGGCAGACAGACTCCCCAGCGCTTTGATTCAAATATGAGTCAGCACGGAGCGTTCATTCTCTTTGTCTCCATTGAGTGAGGGATTCAATTGAGCAAGAAGTCAATCCCAGCAACCTGGAGACCAGGGATTTCCAAAACCTAGAGGGGGAAAAACAAAAACCAAAAACCACAGAAATGGTTAGCTGGCTGCGGCCAGAGGGAAGAGAAGCCCGGTGTGGACGACGCACAGCTGGTCCGCTTGTGGCAGAAGAGGGTGCCTCGCTCGTCCACTCCACTTTCGACTAACATCGCGCATCCTGTTAAACATGCCCGTTAATTAAATCGTTAGCATTTTACCCACTCAGGACACTTACCAAATCGCTGGATTTTCATCCAGGGAAGAAACTGAAAACGTGGTGCTCTAATGATTGAAGTCTAAACTTGAAGATTCAGGACAGAAACGGTTAAATTCAGCTGAATGCAGTTTAAATGCCACTGCAATGCAATGTTTGTCCTTACCAAGAGCCCCTGCAAATCTAGAGATGATACCAACTGTGAAGAGTGCCAAGTAAGGCCCTCTCTAAATAAAACGTTTAAAGCCCGAACTTCAAACTGTCTTCTATACAGTCAAGACACAAATGCCGAACAGCACCCTTGAAGATCACACACGCACAGGCCAACAACACACACGAGAACAGAAACCTTTCCTAAAATCCACATTCAAAAACTACAGAACACCTCAGAATGAGGCTCATCGTGGCCAAGGGGAACCTGAATCATTTTGGTTCACAGGATATTCTAGCCCTCAACCCACTGCCCAAATCCCAGCTGCTTTTTCAGAAGGCAGAAACTGCCTTCAACAAAAGTCAGGGTAGGGCTCCCTTGTGCACACAACAAATAAGGAAACACACGAACCAGGCTACTCGGTGAGGGTACACTTGAAAATCCTCCACATGGCAGGGTCAACATGGCTCAGTCTTTCATCAGAAAACGGGTCCTCCCACTTTTTTAACCCACCCTTCCCATTATGCACTGGCCAGGTGAAAAATGGATGATTACTTTATGTGGCTCTGCAGGCTCAGATTTAGAAGCCAATTTTCATTCTTGGAGAAGAATTAACCTTCAAACCCAACACCCTCCCCTCCACCTTTCTGGCAAGCACAGAATTGTTTCTAAATAGACTCAGCTACTTAACCTGAAGTCTGTTAATTCCACCCAACAGAACAAAAAGACTTGCAAACTACTCCCACCACCTTGCCTTGACTTTCCTTCTCTCCACTTCCTCAAAGAGCAAGGGCCTCTAGGCTCAGAGAAGACAAGGAAACATTTCTTCCCCTACTTTATACTCATAATAGAAGAAAATTCTCATGCTCTTTGCTATCTTTAGTTTTGAATACACTAGATCTTTAACATTAAGCTTTTCTAAATAAGGCTGCAGATCAAAGATTAGGGAAAAGAAAGAAGGTACTGAAGTGTTTTATCTTAATTTCTGAGTCCTTTGTTGTGATCACAATGGAGGATAAAACTCTTGGGCTGGCTACCAGCTTGGTGGGCTTTAACAGAACACTCCAAAGGCCCGAGTTCTAGTTCTGGCTAAGTCACAACCTTAAAGTTGTCACCACCACCTACCTACCTCACCTTCATCTACCTACTGCAGGCGGTTAAATTACAGGATCACCCTTAAGAGTTCCCAATGTCTAGGGTTCCAGGGGCAGAGCTACACGTATGGATAGACAGACACCAAAGAATATTTGATGCTTTCCCAATCAAGATATTAAGTGATATTTGAAAAACGTAACTGATAATTTAGGGTTCTATGCAGTCTGTATTTACTGAGTGCCGGTGTACCAGGTAATATTTTAACTGAAGAAATAACAGTACATACTCTAGACAAGCAGTTATCAAACTGACAACACTGTCTTCACTGGCAACATCTAGATGAAAAACAGAGAAACAACTCAGTGAGTCCTACACAAAACGACACAGATTAATTTCAATTTGAATAGAGGCTGTCCTCTATTTGAGGTCCTTTCTGTTTGGGGGTTGCAAACTGGCTTTTTTAAAATGAAAGAGTGGCAATAGCAATCAGTACTTTTTTTAATGTCCTAATTTGCCAAAATCAAAGTTAGTCCTCTATGTTGGACCTGTGTGTGTGTGTGTGTGTGTGTGTGTGTGTGTGTGTGTGTACGTATGTCAGAAATTTTACTACTCTCTGATATTTTAAGTTTGGGGGAACTCCAGTTTCCTACAAATAATCTTTCCCCAAAAGACACCACTCCTAAACTCAACCTCTGAATTAGAAACACGGTGTGGGTACATAACATCCCTATTATTTCCAATCCAGGGTAATGACGTGACCAGAAGGAAATGCCTCAGTTTAGTTTCAATTTTTATCTCTGAAATGTTCAAATATCTGGGTTAAAGAAGTCATCATCAGCTTCTAACACAAGACCTAGAGGATTAGTAAAGGAGGCACAGTGCAAAAAGAAAAAAAAAAAAAAAGTAGGAGCGGAACAGAGGCCTGATGAGGGGAAGGACGTCCTAGGCCCCCCAGCTCCAGGAGTCTCCTACGAGGGTCAGATGGGGAAGGAGAACCTCCCAGGCAAAACCTGAAGCACTTCCTCCTCAAGGGAAGCTTCTGGCACAGACTGTGATGGCCACCGACTGTGCCCAACTGTCCTAAGCACTAGAATCCCGGTGAGTCATGGCAATCCTTACTACTCAGCCAAAATCTGCAAACCCTGGGCCACCTGTTTGAAGATCCCAGGAGCAGAGACCCTGTCGACCTTGTTCACCATGATGTCCCCATGCCTAGAAGGGGTCCCTGGCATGGGGCTGGGCCCTCAATAAACCCCTGGTGAATAAATTAACAAACACTAACATCATCAGTACAGGTATACAATCAGTAATGCACATCTCTGGCCACAGTCACCAGTCTGAACTGATCTGATATTAAAATTAACCCGAAGGTTCATGAGAACTTCTTTCAACACGGCTCTCCATGGCTGCCATCTAATTTACCATTCTCTGCAGTTTCAAGGGTGTAATAATAAAAAAACAAGAATCCTAATTAATCCTACCATGAAGTTGACCAGCATAGGCAAAACCTTATCATTTAGATTTAAAACTACGCTCCTTACTGACCCACCAAAACAGACGTGCAGGACAAGCTAGGAAAATCTGACAACAAATGCCTCGGACTCTTAAGAAACCGTGTGCAGACTAAACACTTCCTTAAACTATAAACCAATTACCTGTATCACTTAAAACCAATCTGCTAAACAAAACCCCCAATCTTTAACAGTGACTGCAATAATACTTGAATAATAACAAAACTTACCAAAAAATACACATTCTAATCTAATTACTGTTAATAACAACCATTCCAGTCGAGTGAAGTGCACACCCACACACAGCCTTCCTAGAGCCTCGTTCTCCAGGTGGAGCAACACAGAAGCCACACAGAAGCCACGGCAGGCACACCAAGGCACTGCCGGCCCAGGAAGTTGTCTGTCTTCACAAAGAACTGGAGGAGGAAGGAGGGGGAGGATCTTAATCCGACCCCTAGAATCTAAATGCTTTTAGTTTGCAGAGAAGTTGAGCGTTCAGAACATACTAGGCTTCCTGAAAGGCAGTTTGCAAAACTGTTTGTCAGTGTTTAAAAAAACGTTCTTAAACCTTTACTCAGGGAGACGATACACTTAACCTTCAGCTATACACCCCCAAGGCACCCGAGGCAAGAGGTTATCCGGCATAAGGTATTCCGCAAGAGTCCTGGTGATTACTTTATACTGTGATTAGGTACTTTAAGAAAAAATTTACAACAACATAATCTTTGAAAAACAGTAGGAACCATATTGCTTAGAAGTGCCTAAAATAGAAGTCTAATGCTCTTTAGGCCATTTCTGTTTTTTGTTTGTTTGTTTTGTTTTAAAGCAGATGCTCCATGGGGAGTAAAGCTCGGGAGATTCTGCCACTATCTACAGATTTTGAAATTAGCAAATATTACACATTATACAATGCTTAATGAAAAAAATACAATGATTTGTGCTTAAGCACAGCAAATTAGAAGGAAATGCCACCTTGCTGACAATTGGCTGTGACTTGGGAAGAGTCCTTCATGTACAAACATACTCACACTGTTAACCTTTACAGACAGCATGCCTCCACTTTAGCTAAACAGGTTATCTTACATTTTTTGATATGGAATATTTATTACCCTATGATGGAGCAAGAGGAATTCAAAGTCCTCAAAAACTGTCAAAGACACACAATTCTGTTTATAACTAAGTAATATGCAGTATTCCTGCAATTCTACTTTTTCCCTCCGAGTCACTGAAGTGTCCAAATATATGATCTTTAAAGTATTTCACCCAAACAAACTGCTAGTCTCTGGCCTGTTTCATTTGTATCCTGTAAAGGGCGAAATTATCTCCAAGATCTGGTCAGGAAACTTAACAGTTTTTCTATAAAGGTTCCTTCTGTACGTTACACATAGGAGTTTTTTCCTTAATCCGACAAGTGAGGAGAACTGTACATAGTTACGCCACAGCGACAATCCAAACCTGTAACTTTAAATCCTTCAACACTATTTCAAGGAAATCACCAAGGTCACACCCATGAGCTGAATGGTCAACCCAACTTTCCTAATATAGCTGTGAAAAGATGTTTAAAAGTTCAGTGAAAAGATTAAAATATGCAAAAGGTTATATTCAGCATCACAATCTAAAACTAGTCAAAAGCAAATGGCTTAAAAATAAAAAAGCCATTGGCCGGTTCAAAGGCAAAGCCTGGGAAGATCCTACGGCCATCTCATTTTCCTGAAACTGTAATAAGGGCTCAGTTCTAAATACAATTAGAGACCAGAATACTATAAAAATATACAATCATATTCGTACATTTGAGTGTCAGGATTAAAAACTCTGCCTGATTCATTCCAAATCAATTAAGGTCAGTTAAAGGATCTCAACGTGAACTTGAAGCCACATAACTGGTTTTAGTTTCGGTATTATCAATATTAACAGATCCTGTGGTCTGTAAACTGGCTTTGACAAATCCCATCCTGATCGGAAAAAGAGAACTATAAGGGAAATGAATAAAACAAGAATTTTAATGCAGCCATCACATGAAGCCTTGCGATCTGTGAGATTCCATTCCTGCCACTTCACCAGTAGTACACCTTAACTACTTTTGGAAAGATGTTAGAACTGCACCAAAAAGAGAGATTTCAATAAAAAAAAAAAGCCAACCTATCTTTACCTATATTCTCTCGCTCCCCACAAAGGAAACGCTTGTGTATCTGCACACACAGATAACTGCATATATAGGTATAGAAGGAACTAGAACCCTAACCCTACAAGGCTACCCCACACACCTACACCACTTTTTCCACAAGGCCAAATGGTGAGTGCTCTTGATTATACCCAATTTAACGAACCAGATTAAATATAAACACGGGCACGGCCTTTTAAGGCAGGCGCTCTTTCTTTAGCCAACATTTAAAGATTCCCCTCCCTATCTCTGTTGAGTAAATACTAAGGTTGTAGGTCTGGCTCTTTTAAGTCACCTGTTTGCTTTCAAAATTCAGGGAAAAGCTCTCCTTTCAATTAATACGTATATAATCACTGTTCCTTAGATTTGTATGCTGGACTGAAAAAAAAAAAATTAGCCACCGATTTTAAAAAACCCAAAACACACGTCTTCTGGTGTAAATGAACTGTGTTGAAGTCACCCCGATGGACACAGGTAGGAGAAAAAACAAACAAACAAACAAACAAGCAGTTCTCCTAATGGGATTCAAGAACAAAACAGATGTGGACTCTAGCTCCGGTCCACAGAACCATAGTTTAAATTCAAAACGTTTCCTGACACGCTGGCAACTAATGAACAACGATACACAAAACACAAACGAATCCATTAAAAAACTGGCATCTGACTCCGGGTAACAGAAGCTCTTCAGCCCGAATTGAAGGAATGCGGAGGTCAAAAACAACTTAGGTAAAGCTTCGGAACAAAAGCCCAGGAATTCAAACTAATTCTCTCATTTAACTTCCCCGGCTGTCTTTTCAGGTTTAGTAATTTTATTTCTCAACGTGATCATAAAATTACCAAACTGGCCCCTGATTTCCAGTAACTCAGTTATGTAGTTAGCCTGGGCAGGAAGTAATGGGATGTTAAGAACAGTCAGTCAACAAATGTTCAAATGTGAAGTCGTTTAATGAACATTCCAATGTTAAGCATAAAGGGGCGGTCTGTGGCGGCAGCTGGCTGCTGGGGGCTGGGGGGGGGGGGGAGCCCCAGCATTTATTTGGAAGCTAGCTCTAAACAAGAGTTGAGCTTCCTCGTCCTGAACGGCAGATTTTAGAGAAGGACGGTGGTCGCACTTCCTCAAAGTCAGACTTCCAGCTGCCCTCGTGGTCTCCATTCAAAATCCTCTGCCCCACACACCACTACCAATTTGCCTAACTGTGTTATCGGTCGGAGAGGAATCGCCCAGATCGCCTCCCTTCCTAACAGCCAACACTTCAAGAACTTTCTGCTGCCCCCAAAAGGAGGCCATTCGGTTAGGACGATCAAGCTTTCCCTCTCCCGAATTTCAGAAATTTCCTGCTGTCTTTGTGTAATTCATTCTTTCTTCCACGTGCATTTTAATCTGGTTAACACCCCTCCCCCCCCCCCAAATCTGGAGGTGAGGTGTACAAATCGAGACTCTTCCAGCCTCCTTTAGTTTACAGGCTGTAACTAAACCTTTCCCTACTTGGAGCATTTAATATGATTAGGATTTCTTTCATTTCAGCTCAGTAGCTATTCTGTAAACACCTTCCAGGTTTTTACTTGTAACACCTCAGTAACTCTTTGAAAACTATTAGGTGTATTCCAGATGTAGTCGTTTAAATTAAAATCTCCTTGCACTTACTTTATTCTAGTGGAATACTCATCAGCTTATACAACAGTCTCAGGTTTCTCCCTCCTACTGTACAATTCTAAACCTTGAAAATATATAGCCATTGTTCGGGACCTTGGCTTCAACTTCCCAATTCATTTACTAAACAAACTGCCAGGGGGTTACACTGAAATAGGAAATTAGCAATGAGCCATTTAAAATAAGTCATCCCCAGCAACCTCAAAAAAACTAACACACAGGCCATCCTGGCATGTGTGGGATGGGACAATGTGAACATTGAAAGACAATGAAATGATCTTTGAGCAAATGGAAACACAGCTTCACGTGAAACATAAAAAAGGGTCCAGATCATGCACAGTCCTAAAAGAGTCAGATCAAAGTATCTTTTTTTTTTTTTAAATCAAGTGGTAGATAGTAGGCAGTCAAGAGTCATTAAAACTACTCAAAAGTTCTTATCAACCAATATCATTTTTGTGACAACAGGGAGAAAAGAATGTAATTTTATAAAGTGGGAAAACACATCTTTGGGGACCCCTGAGGCTCTAATCAAGCGTCTCGGAATTAAGAGTGCTCCAGGGTTGGGAAAAGGCAACCCTGCTGTGGCAAAAACATGCCATTTCATCATAAATGTTGTTAAAAGAGAGTAAAGTGATTATCTGAAATGAGGAGAGAGGGACTCTGTCGTTGCCAGGCCATTATATTCCTTAATGATTTCATCAGTTTGTAAGCGACTGGATGATGAAGTCTTATTTTCTGATTTCCTCTTTAAAGGTCCACTGGAAGGGAGACGGGCGGCTACTCCTCCCAGAAGTTCCGCTGCCAAAAAATGGAGGCTTACAAAGAGAATGCAAATCAGCCTCCACCTTAAAGAGTAAAGGCAAACCCTAGCACTCCTCCGTCCTCCCCCCCCCCCCTCCCGGGCGCCCCCCCCCCCCCATCAAGCTGTTATCTAAATAGATTCTTCAGGGTGAAGGGGGAAAATATTTTCTACAAATTTTATCAACGTGGTGTATTAGTTCCTTTTTTTGATTAGGAAGTGAAAGGGAAGGATATGAACCCCAGACCACTGCTAAACTTCGATCTGAACAAGTTATTAAAAAACAGCAAAGGTCACACTGCCAAGCGTTGGAAGGTGCTGTGAAGATAAAAGGTTGGAACCAAGTTGGACACTAAGGAAAAGTGTGTCCTTCGCCTGGAGAAGTCATAATCCTCCCCCACTTCCTCCCCCAGCACGCAAACCAATGTGGAGCCGACAAGGAGGAGGCTTCCTCTTCTTCACGCTAAATAATTAACATTCCAAGCAATCAGATTATTAACCCTATTCGAACAAACAAGCCAAATAGATGGTGTGCCTAGTGGCTACTGACAAGAGGATTTTTAAGTAAGTCACACTGCCTCTTGAATTTAAGACCTTCTAGAACTGATTAAAAATGGAAGCAATTTGGGGCGGTGGGAGGGGTTTTTCACTAGAACACCAGGATCAAACGCACACACACTAATACGAGTCTTTGGGATACTGAACAAAACAGTATCTAAAATAAACAGGACTTCTCAGAAAAAGTCATCTACCATTAAAGGACACACCTTAAAAGTTCCTAGACACATTAACTAAGCAAGCACAAACCAGTGGTTTGACTGCTATATTTTTCAGACAAAAAGCAATTAGGGTATTACTCCGCACTTGCCCCTCCAGACACGACAGGCCTTTTTAGAAACGCTAGATTATTCACTCAAAGTGTTATAAAATTTAGTATTTTAAGTTTTAGCTGATATCAACCAGGGCATCCATCCATGGGGGGGGCGGGGGAGGGGGGGCGTACAGTAACAGAACATTTCTAAATGTACTTAACATATACAAAAGAGAAGGTGCAAGGCCTCCCAAGACCCCTACCTAGTCGCCAGGCCTGGCCGGCAGCTGTTGCTACCCTGCCTTTTCTTTTGTTGGGCTTAATCTCATGTCAACTCATTCAACCAACTCAAAAGCGATGAAGACATAATTGAATCAACCTGAACTAAATCAGACCTAGGCTTCTTAAAACATACAGCTTAATGGTTCCAAATGATCTAGAAAGTGAGGAAACCAGCTAGTATGTAGCATGTAGTAGTCAATACCACAGGACCCCAAACTGGCCCAAGGACCACTGCAACAGCCCTGCATTTAATACACATTTAGGAATGTTCAAGCTAGCGCTTCAAGCCCTATAGGCTGATTCAGAAAGATAAACTGAGGCTCAAGGAATTTCAAAGAGGAACACAGCAAAGCCTTAAACTCCAAAGCGACTATTCTTTCCTTGGGGAAACAAAAAAAGAGAGAAAATAAAGTTTCTGCTACTCCCCGTGTAAGCAGGCCACTGGGGTCCCAGAAGTGGCCACTGGTGGCTCTTTCCTGTTCCTGTAACTAAACCTTTAGGAAAAGTCCCCGCCTGCCCACCCCACCCCACCCCCATCCCACCCGCCCAAGAATGCTACTTCCCGTCCTCGGTGGCCCTTCCCTGAATCCCAAAATGCGGGTTCCAAACCGGGACCTGGACGTCTGTCCCGATCCCCGGGGCGCAGGTACCGGCCTGCAGGTCTGGCCCCCATCCGGGCAGGACCGCTCAGGCCGCCCCAAATCCGGCCTCCAGGGGCCCCCAGCAGCGCCCTCGTCTCCCCTCCCCATCCCGTGCAGCTCGCATTTTGGGGCCAAAGCTAGAGAGAAGAGGGCTCTACATCTGAAACTGCGCGGTTTCGCCACTCAGCGCCTCCTGGCAGAAACTTCCCTTTTAAAAAAAAAAAAGAAAGAAAGAAAGAAACACTTATAGGCGAACATTTCAATCCTTCCTGCCCTTTAGAGTTACTAGTTCTGCTTCCAGCTGGCTTTGGGACTCCAAGTAGAATTAAGTTATAAAGACATTCTTTAAGCGTTTAAGGGCTATTTAAAAAGTTTCAAAAAATCTTTAAAATTAAAGAGAAAAAAAAAAAACAACACCTTATCACACACATCCAGGAATCGCAGCCCGTGCACCGCCTACTCAGGGATGGGCAGGAGACCGGGAATCCCGGGGACGGATTTGGGGGCGCCCGGGGGCTTGTTGGGGTGTGCGTCGGGGTCTGCGGCGACGCCAAGCCCCTCCCTCGGCCCCTGTAGACGCGCCCTCCGCCCGGCCCGTGTGGACGGTCCCGGCCATTGTTTGCGGGGGACGCCTGTTAGGACGCATTGTTTTGGCTGTTCCCAAGTTGCCCCGGCCCCCCCTCGGGGCCATCGCGGGGGGCTCTGCGCCGGCCCCCTCACCTCCGCCCGCCCCCCACGGCCAAGCCGGCAAACCCGGAGAGCCGCCCGGCGGAGCCACCCAACTTTTCCGGAACAGCCCCCCACCCACCCACGCACGCACGCAGCCCCCGGCTCTCTCCGGCCAGCCCCCCGGCCCGGGCCGGAGAAGGGGGGACTCCCCCGCCCCCAAGCCCTCCCGTCAGTCCCCGAGAGTGAGTGTGATGGTAAAACACTGTACACACCGGGGGCTCGCCCGGCACCTCCTCACTGCCGGGATCGCTCCGTAGCCGGGTGGGGAGGGGGCGCCCTAGAGGAGCGGAACAGAGAGCAGGAGCGGGGGCCGGGCCGGGCGGGGCGGGGGTCATCCGCGGAGGGGGGCGAGCTAACGAGCACGGGAGACTCGAGGGCGGCTCGGGGGGACTCCGGAGGGGGCGCGCGGCGCCCCTGGGCCCGGCGCGGGCGGGAGGCGCACCCCCTTTACCTGCGGCTCCGGCTCCTCGGCCATTTCCTCGCTCGGCGGCGGCCGGGACTGAACTGACACCACACGAGCGAGCCGAGGTTTGAATGAGGAGGGAGCAGGCGAGGAGGGGAGGGGGCGGGGAAGGCAGGAGGGAGGGGAGGCGACGGGGAGTTTCTCTCGGCCTTTTGTGCGGACACCTCCCGGCTTCCGCGCCCGCACCGGCCCCCCAAAAGAGACGGGGGGCCACTGGACGCGGGGCGAAACCATCTCCCCGGGCGCCTCGAGAAACCGCGCCTGGAAGACCCACCCCCCCCAACAAGGGAGAGCCCCCCCGCCCCCACCCCTCCCCCGCCCGGGGGATTTGGGGGCCGGGCTCACCTCGGGCGCGGGGCTAAGGTGAGCGGGGCGGGGGTGCGCACGGGGGGCAAAGGCGCGGGCGCCCCCTACTCGTCCGCGCGGGGACAGTGCAGGCGCGGGGGGTCCCTAGAGCCGCCGGGGCGCGGCGCGTCCGGCGCTGGGGGACTGTTGGGTCAGAAAGTGCTCTGGGAGCAGCTGTTGCGCCCTCCCTCGGCCCGGCCGCTCGGAGATGCCCCGCCTCCTGCCTTCACGGGCCGCGGCGGCCCCGCCCCTGAGCCCCGCCCCCGAGCCACGTGGTCCGCGCAGGCGCGCCCCTGCCCCGCCCACCGCCGCGGACTCCGCCTCCGGGACGCGAGCGAGCCGACGAGCGCGCGCACTCCCGTTCTCGCCTGAGATTCCCGCGCACGCGCGCGCCTTTCACCACCCCCACACACAGTTTCCCCCCCCCCCCCCCCCCGCCCCTCCACACACACCGCCTCCCGCCATCCGGCTAAACGTGGCCCGCGCGCGCTCCGGCGGTTCCAGTGACAGGTACGCGGGGAGGGCGCCCCCCTCCCCGGGGGCAGCGCGCAGGCGCAGATCCAGGCCTCAGCCTCGCCGCCTCCCCCTCCCTCGCAAGGTGTGCCCAGGCGAGGGAGGGGCGAGTAGCAGCACTCCGGGTCATCCCGAATTACCAGCAGAAGCCTCTGCGCCCATCTGAGCAGGTCAGAAAGTGAAGTGCACAAGCATATCTTCAGATTTTCGTCAAGTGTGAGCAAGGTCGCGGAGGTGACATGATTAAAATGGTTTAATGGGTATCTTCATAAAGCTATCCTGTAATTGTTGTTTTTCCAAAAGGGCTCGACTTGCGCCGCTATTATAACTTGAGATTTCTAAACTTGGCCTGGGTTCCAAGAATCCACTTGGCTTTGATAGAAACCCACGTGGAGGAAACCGAGTTTAAACTGCGGGGGGGGGGGGGGGAGAGACAAAACTAGCCTTGCCCCCTCCTTCCCAGAAACAACGTATTTAGAGCGTTTCCTACCCTTCCCTGCTCACAAAAGGAGAAAAAAGGTTACGATTCCGAAGGCCTGTCTGTGTTCCCTCATTTTAGGTTCGCCCCAGGAGGAACCACAGAAGCAACAATCACAACCACTAAGTTTTCTGCCCCAAAATGCAAACGAATTCAAATGTAAACAGAGCTAGGCAACTCACCGAAAACAAAACAGCAAAGTATTTTTTTTTTAATGGGATATGGGTGTATCCACAATGGAAAAACTTAAAACCTATCAAGAAAGGCACTTAAAGGATATATTTAATAATTGGGGGGCTATATAAATGCTCTGCTGGTGAGCAGTGGAGTTCTTAATAGAAAATGGAATTTTGAGAGACAGCTTCTTAGCAGAGGGGAAGAATTTGCCAAGTGTGATGTTTTGCTGTCATTTTATATATAACTACTAACCCCACATATGGTCTGGTTAGTCTTTTTTAAAAAGGAAGTGAACCAATTACTTACTCACAATTAGCAGTGCCAGAAGTAAATTCTTCGGCCAGAACTCCTTTTTTTTTTTTTTTTCCACCCAAGTACACTGATGTTGATCATTTGTAGTACTCAGGTTCCTTTTCTCAGAGAAGACAAATACCTTCTTTTCAAATAGTTTTTAAACCCTTATAAGTAGTCACATCCTAAAACGCAATCCAAGGGCACTCTTCATAAACAAGAAACTTCATTTAACTTCTCCAAACAGCGGGCTTGGAGCATTGCTACAAAAACAAACTATGAGCAAGTGGAACCAGGTTGAGTCTCCACATTAAGTGTAGCCTTACTCTACATGTTAATGGATAACCTTTGAACTCTGAAACCTTGAATGCTGTAAACACAATAGCACTGATAGTTAAAATTCTAGTGTCAAAACTGAGCAAAAAGAAAAGTCCAAACTTTTCAGAAGGGATAGGGAAACAATCAAATGTTTTGACAAATAATGGTTCCACTAAGAACAATGAGGCTTCTGGCTCTCAGACCTTGTTGCTCCTGAATCATTTTCTGAGCAAAAAAAAAAAAAAAAAAGGTTGTGTTTTTTTCTCTGTGCCCTCACAAAGCTACCACTTTGTTAGCATAATAGCATCCTATGGTTTGTTAGTTACTGTTTCTCTCCTCCTCCCCCCACCCCACCCCCCAAAAGCCTTGTATATGTTGTAGCTTTTAAAATTAAAAAAGAATTGTCTTCACTGATCTATCGGCTCAGAGTTTTGTATGCCATCCTTATGTTTGAGCAAAGAATTACAAAGAACCCTGTTCCTGGAGATGTGCCAATAAAACTGGGAAATCGTTGCAAAAATTCTGCCAGTGACTGAGTGCTGGGTTGCAAACACGTACTGTGTTTTTAAATGGACATGGAAGGATCTGCATTTGCTGTAAGGGCATCTGTGAGACACAGTCTCCCCCTTTAAAACAGGAAGACTCACGCTTAAGATTTACTTGGAAAGCATGCATAGTCAAAACAATTAAAAGTGGAAACTCCAAAAGTAAAGGAGAACACTGGGAGCATTTGGTTTTGTAGTAAAAGTGGAAGAACTCATTATTATTCTATGAAATGAAAATGGAAAACCAAGCGTTGGTCTGCATAAACTTAGCTCCACCCACGAGTAATCCTGTTTTGCCATCACTCCTAGCTAGACTATCTCTCAAAGAGTCAGGTGCTGCGGAGAGGCAAGCAACACAAACAAAGAATAGGACCAGAAATGTCCCTTCCCATAGAAGCTGATGCTCTGCACATGTTACTTGGAGAAAGGTCGAAAAAGCCCCACTTCACCTCTCCTTAACGCGACAAACATCAGCTACACCTCGTTTTTCACAATTATCCAAACAGACCGGCCCTCCTCAAGATACATTTCCCAGTGTATGCTTAGAAAACTGCACCATTATCTCTGATTTAATCCTCGTGATAGGAGACCTCTTCATTTCCCTAACTTCTGGTTTTCTCTCCAGATGCTGCCTGCGACACAGCCTTCTCAGATCTAATAACAAAAACAAAAACCCTTCTAATTTGCTACATTTAACATTTATTGGAATCATCCTGGGAGACTTCGCCTTCATTAGAAGAACAATGCAATACGATCTTCCCATTTCACAAGTATTTATTTTCCTGTGGAACTATTGCAGAAAAACAGTTTTGGAAACTGTACGTAAATCCTTGGAGCTGAAATGGAGCCAACATAGACACTCGACTTAAAAGAATGCAGTGTTCAGAGCAGGAAAACCTGAAAAACTGCAGTGAGGAGTCAGCAGGAAAAGAAAATGAAAAAGTTAAGGCGAACCTTGCCAGCTCCTGCTAACTACAAAGGACATTTGAGAAGGAAACCAGGGCAGCCCTTTTAACACGACTGAATGCACTAAATTAAGGACGGATCACCCAACAACTCCAGGGAAAGCCACACAACTCTCCTTCCAGTAAGTTTCTTGATCCCACTCAAGTCCTCTCGAAATTTTAAGCCCTCTATAAAACATCGCAATAATAGATGATAAAAATAAATCGCAGAAATCACCTTTCAGAAGTGGAGGCAGCGTCTGGAGCCTGGAGACTTCTCTCGGAGTTTGCCAGCCCACCTGGCTCGGAACAATACTGCAAGAGATGAGATTACTGGTTTTTCCAAGCAAACCGAAAAGGGAGGGGCCAAGTATAAGGCTCAATTCAAATTGAGGTTTTGATGCAATCATGACTTGATTAAATTAATCGACCTTGATGATGTGCAAAGAGCACAGTTGATTTTTAACTGTATCTGTCCCATTCCCCCTCCGCTCTTCGGGCTCGACTTTTGTTTTCCGCCAATATCCTGGGTGCTTTTCAAGGCTGACTTCACTCACAATGTAAATGTATAAACTTTCTTTAAAAAATGACATGGGTCGGGGCACCTGGGTGGCTCAGTAGGTTAAGTGCCCAACTTGAGCTCAGGTCATGATCTCATGGGTTCGCGAGTTCGAGCCCCACATCGGGCTCTCAGCAGCGAGCCCGCTGTGGATCCTCTGACCCCCTCTCTTTCTGCCCCTCCCCCACTTGTGCTTTTTCTCTCTCTCTCTCTCTCAAAAGTAAACCTAAAAACAAATAAACATAAAATATACACATATGGATTAATTACATGTGTCACGTGACTTGAACACCCCTTGAAACCTTTCTGCACTCACCTGATATTCTAGATGGGACCTCTGGCACAAGGGGAGGGGTTGGAGGAGGAAGGTGACTAACAAAGTTTATTGAAATTCGATTCCCATTTCATCTCCATACATGGATCCGCCCACTTACTCAAGCCAAAACCCAGAAGTCCAACTCTATTCCATCTCCATCACCCTACATGCACCTTTAGTCCACTAATTTCTATGTTAATACAGCTCAACGTTGTCCACTTACCTCCGTCTCTAACACAGCACCATCCCCTCTCACCCTCTCCTCCAAATACATGGAGCGCGTAAGGCGCCTGCCAGCTTCTTCCTTTCTAAGTTTGCCTCAATACAAGCTCCACCCTAAGTCCAGGAGATCTTTTACAGGGTAAATCAGATCCTGTCACCGCCCTGCTTAATGGCTTCCTATGGCCTGGGGAGGGGAAAGGGGGGTTAAAGAACAAACTCCAAGAGCTGGCCTCCCCGACTCTGTACATCTGGCCCCTGCCTAACCTGCAGCTTCAAGTTGTGGAAGCCCTTCCGTGGGAGTCTAAGCTTCAGCCCTGAGGCCTTCCCTCTGACCCAGAGCCTTCAGACCTGTGGCTCCCTTTGCCTGGCACCCCCTACCCTTTCTTTCAAGATGGTGGCTTCTGTGCCTGGGAGTGGGGAGGGGGTGGCTTCCCTCTGACAAGGTTTCGGGACCTCTTCTCGCCACGGGTCCTGTCTCAACTATTCCATTACACCTTCTGAGAGCTGCCTTAGCCTTAGAATATGATTTAGTCTCTCTGGGCAGCAGTTTTCTTCACCAAATGTGGTGATGATGAAGAGGTGGAAGAGCAGGAGGAAGGCCTTAAAAGTCCTCATCACAAGGAAAAGAACTGTAACTATATGGAGTGATGGATGTTAACTAATCATCTTGCAACGTGTGCCTACATCAAATCATTATGTTGTACGCCTTAGGCTTATACAAGGCTATATGTCAATCATATCTCAATAAAACTGGAAAGGAAGTATATATACTTATTAATTATGTAAATACCTATTTTTCTGTAAGACTCTGGAGAATCAAATGAGACACACTACAGAGCTGTGAACCCAGAGTTTTGCAGGGGCGAGTGGGGAGGCCCGGCATTGTTCTAGGCACAGGAGACAGAGCTTGAGGGAAGCAAAACAAAGCGTTTGTCCCTTTTTATTTTTTTTTTAATGTTTATGTATTTTTTAGAGAGAGAAAGAGACCGAGCACAAGCGGGGGGGAGGGGCAGAGAGAGAGGGAGACACAGAATCCGAAGCAGGCTCCAGGCTCCGAGCTGTCAGCGCAGAGCCTGACTCGGGGCTGGAACTCATGAACCAGGAGGTCGTGACCGGAGTGAGCCAAAGTCAGAGGCTTAACCGACTGAGCCACCCAGGCGCCCCAGCGTTTGCCCCTTTTTAGAGGGAGACAGACAAACACATAGACAGCAGATAGTATGTCTGCCTCATATATTGATAGAGCTGACCCCTTCCTCACCCTTGAAACACTTTTTCCCTTGCTTTGGAACCCCACGTTCTGTCGATTTCCACCACCGCCCCCTCTGGTCCTCACTGGAGGCTCCTTCTCAGAACCCTTTGCTGGTTCCTTCGCCTCTCCCTGACCTCCAGCCTTGGAAGCACCCAAGGCCCATTGCTGGTGCCCTGTGGTCTCTTTTCCTGTTCATTCCCTAGACGATTCCATCCACAGCCCAATGGCCCAAAAGGCCATCTAGATGTTGAGGGCTCCCAAACATATATTTGTTATTTATTTTGAGAGAAAGAGATGGGGAGGGGCAGAGAGAGAGGCAGGGAGAACCCCAAGCAGGCTCTGCATGGTCAGCTCTCTCGGAGCCCGATGCGGGGCTTGGACCCGTGAACCGCCAGCTCGGGACCGGAGCCCAAACCAAGAGTCAGACGCTTAACCAACTCAGCCCCCCAGGTGCCCTTCCCCTCAACTCTGAAAACGTATTTCCAACTACCACTCCATCTCTGCGTAGATGTCTGCCCACAGCAATGATCAGTAGATGCGCTCACAACAAACGCATACCGAAAGGAATAGTAAAACATGCAGCTTAGCTGCAGAGAGGTCCCGTGGGGAGGGAATTGAGATTTGGGGCTTCAGGCCAGTCCCTGGGATCTTGGCTCTCTTTCTTCATCTGCAAATGGGGATTCTAACCCCTTCCCTGCCTGCCTCATTGGATGGCTGGCTTGTCGGGGTCAAACCACAGGGCAGCTGGATGTCCAATAACACAGGGCAGCTCATCAACACTGAGTATCCCTCCACAAAGGGCTCTACTTTTTCGTGGGACTATTTTTTTTTAATGTTCATTTCTGAGACAGAGCATGAGCAGGAGAGCGGCAGAGAGAGAGGGAGGGAGACCCAGAATCTGAAACAGGCTCCAGGCTCCGAGCTGTCAGCACAGAGCCCAACGTGGGGCTCGAACCCACAAACCGTGATATCATGGCCTGAGCGGAAGTCGGTTGCTCAACCGACTGAGCCACCCAGGCGCCCCACGTGGGACTGTCTTTGAGTATACCTGGGACTCTGGCCTCAGCGTCCCTGGCAGCACTTACAGGAGTCCTGACACCCAAGCTTCCGCCCTTTGCTGAGAAGAGCATACGGGCTCCTTGTCCTGTTTTCTCCTCTTCCTTCCATCTCTCCCTCCTGGGTGAGTTAAGGGTCTAGTGGGCTATCTGTGTAGCTGGTTAGAGATTTCATTTTCTTTTGTTTTGTTTTTGTGAGTTTTGTTTTGTTTTGTTTTGTTTTTTTGGTCTGAATCAGACTGTTAACGCCACTAAGGGCAGGGACTTGTCCAGACTCCCACCCAGCAATGCCTCCTGCATTTATTTCTCTGCCTTGGGATGGATGGATGGTGCGGACCAGAGCACCAAAGTTTCAAAGAGGTCCTCTGCCAACAGCAGAGCCAGCAGGCCGGGAGGCTAGCTGATAAGCGCTAACATTTATTGAATTCTTAATGTGTGCTTTTTCACTTTGTAACTCATTTAACCCCTCTAATGACCCTGTGAGGTAGGGTTTATATTTTTCCATTTATTAGACAAAGAACCCAGGCAGAGAGGGATTAAGCAGCTCTCCCAAGGCCCAGAGGCAATAAAACGGCAGCCTCCTTTCCTGTGTCGACACTGGCCAAGTCTTACCCCCACACCCTGCTGGTGCTTCCCCAGGACCTTGAACCAAGCCCAGCACATAGCAGATGCTCATTAAATACTGGACGGAAAAATAAGTAAATAAATAACTGCGTGCCAGGCACTTTACATCTATTATCATCACATCCTCCTAGTAACACAACGGCTACTTCTAGCCTTGCTTTAAATGCAGAGAGGTCAAATATGCATTCAACCCACAGAATGTGGCCAGCATTGTTTGCCACGGGCCTGGGACGCAACTATGAGGGAAGGGAGCTCTACGTGGACCGAGCTACCATTCCAGCAGAAGCGCAGACAATCACCTCTCTGTCACATCGATCTTTTCAGAAGTCACATCGATCTTTTCAGAAGTCACATCTGATTACATCAGGGCCCTGCCTAAAACTCCCCATGTCTCCTAGAATAAAAACAAAATCCCTGATAATGCGGCAGGCGGGATTGCTGGGGGGACTTTATCCCACCAACACTGGGATGTGACTGGAAAGAAACGCAAGAAAAACTGACCCACTGAACTTCAAGTTCAGTGTTTCTTCCTTGAGAGATTGGCTCCTGAAAGGCGGCACCTGGTGCAACAAAGAAGACGTGGCAAACTGGAGGACACCGTTTACTTTCTCTCCCGTGTGGAGGGCGCGCTCAGAGAATCAGAGCTGTCACCGATAAGCCTACCTGGCCACTGGACTAGCCAAATCTTCACCCCTTGAAGTTATCACTGCCTTTGCTTTAACAAGAGGAAACTGAGACTCAAGATGAGTAAGTAGCCCGCCTGAGGCCACCCAGCTGACAGTTGGTTCCCCAACCTTCCAGATGACACTGAGGCCAGCGGGCCATTTGAACCCAATGTCAAACCCCAGCTCTGTCACCAGCCGAAATCTCCTCTCTTCTAAAAATCTACACTGATGCACATTTCTCGACATCCTATTTCCTGAATGTTCACCAGTCAGCCATGAGTGAGTGTCTCTGGGGCAGGGTTGAAACATCCTCACCCAGCATTCCTCCCCACCCCCAATCCTGGAACAACAATATTTCACTTGGTTGCCCCGGGGCTGGCCCCTCCCACCTCAGTCCCTCCCTGGCATTCTTGATGTACCTGCTTACTCTTCCTCCAAGTCCTCCAAAGTCCCCAGTAGACTCCAGATCTCCTTTGAAGGTAGGGAAGAAAGGTCATGCAAATTCACGTCCCAAAGGCAATTAGCAGAGTGCTCTTTTGCACACAGCTGGGAGGCAATAAACGTCTGTGAAATGAAAAATGTCGTAGGGACGCCTGGATGGCTCAGTAGGTTGAGGTTGAGTGTCTGACTCTTGATTTTGGCTCAGGTCGTGATCCCTGGGTTGTGGGATCGAGCCCCACATCAGGCTCTAAGCTCAGCATGGAGCCTGGTTAAGATTCTGTCTCTCTCCCTCTGCCCCTCTTCCCCACTTGAACTGTGTCTCTCTCT